GATGCTTAATTCTAATTTAGCTTATTTTCCCTATCTGTAGACATCACTATCATCAAAAGATTCATTAAAGCAAAAGTACTAGGTAACATTTTGTTAATCTGGCTCCTATACAATGCTATGCTCCAATTCTCATAAAATATTCTAAATTCCAAAAATTAATAGCCAGAAACTTTGCCTTAATTACTCTGAATTAGAATTTTGTTATATTTAACAGATTTCTTCTTGATGCTTTGAATTGAGTGCCAAATACTATTAGTTATAGAGAGTTAGGATTAAACAGAAACAATCTCAAGCCTCTGGTAAAATTTTCAATACTGATGCCAGAGAGGGGAGATGAGAAATATTATTTAGTGGCTGCTATGTGCCAGATGCTATCATGGGCATTTTACAGACATTATCTCATTTAATCCTTACAATAACCCTTTAAGTAAGCTGTAGTTTCACAGTTCTACAGATGGGGTACATGAGGCCAAGGAATGTTAATTACCTTGCCCAAAGTGATAAAACTAGGATTCTAACAAATTCTGAACTCTTTTCATCATACTACAGATGCTTGATGAAATGAAACTTCTTAATGTGTTTCTTTGTTCAATGTGATATTGAGCTGTAATTTGCACAAATAAAGAACCACCAGGAAAGTGAATACTAGCAAATGTCTTCAAAATTCTTCTTCAGCCTGGCCTATGTGGTTCAGTGCTTGAGCATCAACCCATGAACTAGGAGGCCACCGGCTCGATTCCAGGACAAGGCAGATGCTTGGGCTGCTGGCGATCCCCAGGAGGGGGCATGCAGGAGGCAGCTGATTGATGTTTCACTCTTGTATCAATGTTTCTCTCTCTTTATCTCCCTCCCTTCCTCTCTCTCTAAAATCAATAAAAACATATTTTATATATATATATATATATATTCAAAAAATATTTTTAAAAAATTCTTCAAAATTCAGGAATACTCCTATTAAAAACATTTCTTGTAAAATATTCCCTTAAAAACATTTTGTTTGTTTTTTTTAAAAAAAAGCTTATCTAAATCCACAAAAGAATGAGAACTCAGGGTTGTTTATATCAACTTAAGTGAACTTCTGAACTATTCCAACACAGAATGCCAAGTGGCTGACTTAAAAAAGAAAACTTAAACCTAATTGCTTATTCTGCAAAACTGAGTGCTTTGTTTTGTTGAAGACTAAGCATAGCTGAATCCAAAAATAATCTTTCCCAATTTTTAATTCCTCTACTTTAAAGCACATACCAGAAAGCATGTGACATGGTAGGCATGGTTTTAGTTTGGGGAAATATTATTTGATTTATAATAATGTATGATTATTGCAGATAATCTTACTGATTCAACTTTCAAGGGGTCAGCAGAAAAAAGTTTTTATTTTACAACAAAATTCACTCTTTCTTAGAGTAGAAATGCATGCTGATGAGATCTTGTAGGCAACTGAAATAACTGCACATAATCAATTAATAGTGATAGAACTAAATTTCATATGAGAAAGTTAAATAGTATGAGAAAGTATTAAGTAGTATTGTGCTATATAATTAAGTAAATAAAATTCAATAAGGCCTAATGGTCACAGTGCTTTTATTTAATTTTTAAAGGTCTATGTTAATTCCAAAACAGAAGAATAGCTCAGTGCCATATGTCAGAGCTGTTCTGATCTGAGAAATTTCATACTCCATGAAATATGATTGACATTTCAACCCACAGTAAGCTATCTGCAAGGTATTCATTTGCTGCTGACTTTATGCACAGCCAATAAAAGACTGCCATTTTATGATCCATTAAAAAAGATGAAAAAAATTAAATAAAATTGTGAAAGACATTTGCTGGAAGTAATAAATAATTTACCTCCAATTTGCACATACTGAAAATTAAACTGGCAACTACTCAAAAAGTTATTAAAATTAAGGTGACTTAAGTATTTTAAAATTAAGTGCTACTATTAAATACTCTGCAAAGCTTTTTAAAAGTTAGCTTTATGAATAGTAAAGATTACAAGTTGAAACATAAAGTTTCATGTTTGTGAAGTTTAAAGTCTTCACTTCTAGCTGTCACTCTTCAAACACTTTTAGTTACCAAACACTCTCTAAATAATTCTAATTGTTAGAAAGGTCTCCCTAATACTGAACTGAAATGTGCCTCCTTTACATTCCACTCTTCTTTCTCTTTTCCTTGGGACAATAAAGAAAACGTCAAATTTCTAAAGAAAACGTCTATCTTTCACAAGACAAGGCAGACTCGACGTTTGAAGAGAGCCGACGCATCTTGCCTGATTTCTGTCTTTTCCAGAATTTTAAAGTTCATCCTATTTAATATTTTCACACTCGGCAACACTTGTTGGCCACCCTTAGATGTGCTTAAATTAATGGTTGTTCCTCTTAAATAATAATTTCCAGAACTGAATAGAACATTTAAAATAGAAATACAATGCAGATTAGGTGAACTTGTCACATTTATATATATGTAATCAGAAAGCAATACACCATGAGAAAGGAAAGATAAAAGTTCCGCCATTAAAGGGCAGGGAGCGAACTAGAGAAACAGAAAGGGTCCTCAGCCTTAACGCATCAATGTTTGTATTCAAAATAAAGACATAACTAATGTCCTGGTATCCATGATAAAAATAAATCAAGTCTCATTCCTCAGAGGAAACAGAAGAATAAAGCTCTGACTGCAGCGTCTGCTACTTAGAGAATGGAATTAGGGACTGCATAGATGTACAGACGCTTACATGCATAGCTATACTGAAAAGAAGTGTTCATGTAAGAAGTTGGGTTAAAGGCAGAATTTGTCAAACCAAGAAGGAGAAATAAAATTAATCAGTTTTATTCTAGGAAAATGGATTGCATTAGGAAAACAGCAATATGGATGAAAATAAAAAGATTCTATTATCAAGTCAGGCTCTCATCCCAAGTCTGCCACACCATTCATCTCAATGGCCCATCAGCATCAGATGCTTAAAATTTTCCACATTCCCTGAGATCCCTCCACTTCTTACTCAAAACACTGTCAAGTGTCTTCCCACACTGCCTTTTAAGAGAACTAATACTATCAGTTTCATCTGATTTAGATATTTATTTCATATTTGCCAGAAGATTCTGGCCAACATTTTTGAAAGCACATTTAACTATACCATATGCCTCCTTAAATCATCTCTATCAAGCAAGCTGTAGGATAAGGCTCCGGTTCATTCTGTTCTGTTTTTCTGTCTTCACAATGTGTTTATGTATATTTACCCAATTTGCTCTGTTCTTCTTGCCAAATTACAGGTTTGAGAGCTCAACGATTGCAGAGCAGCTGTGTTATTGTTGATGTCGCACTAAGCGAGGGTCAGAGAGAAAGCCCATCCTGCAAATACTGCTAACACCTGCGCTGCGCACCCCAGGTGACTGCCCTGGAATGGGGAGGAGTCAGAGAACTTCAGTCCTTTCTAGTCACACGTAAGATATTTTGATGCAAATGAACCACTGGCAGAAGAAAACTCCCAAACTATCTACAGATTTTTCTTGGTAAGACAATTTGCTTAATCGTGTGACATTTTAAAATTAAACTGTCCAATGAAAGAAATAGAAAAACCTCTCTACTACCACCTTTACATGTTCTCTGTTTAAATACAAAGAATTTGTCCATTTCAATCTAAAAATCTCTATCAAATAAAAAAAATTTAATAGAGATTCTCTCAAAGGAAGTACTTCAAAGACCCACTTCAACAATGCTAACCAATGATATACCTGCATAAGATTTGCCCAGATGGTTTTAACTTTTGTTTACTCCACGACATCAATTTCTGAATGTAAATCTAGGTCCTAACTACTTGGCTACATTCTTCATTCTCACCTCCAACTCGAGATTTTCATGTTAACCCTCTTTCAAACCAAAATTCATAAGCCCTGGGTTTTTAAGGAAATAACCCTCAAACAAATGTAATTCAGGAAACATAAAGATGAGGAAGGAACTGTTAGAGTAGGCTAATGAGATGAGGCACATGCCCATGGATCCAGCTCTGAGACTTCGCATCTGGCTTTGAGGCTGTCTGTCTAAGGTTACTTCACCAGCGCGTTGTTAATTATTTAAGTGAGAGAACAGGGGGAACCATCGCCACATCTGTCACCCTCACACAGGAAAAACCTTCATTCATTGTTGGGCCAGATGTGTTCTTTGAAATATAGACTAACTAGCTACTTAATGGGTTTGAATCCTTAGCCAAAAGATAATTAGGCAAGCATATTAAGCATCAGTCACCTTACAAGGCTAAAGTGTTTCAGTCGTGTTGATTTTAATCCAATCTCAGAAGAGAACTCATCACCTACAAAAGTATCTGAAGAAAATTCAAGGCAAAGGAAAGCTCAAAATTACTAGCAACATACTTAGTAGAAAAAATAATGATGCCCCCAAATATGCAATACATAAACAAATAAAATCTTCTCAGCTTTTTCCTCGGTGGCACCATGTACTTGATTTAAAAAAGAAAAAAAAAAGAAAAAATTAAAAATAATTATTTTAGACAAAGCTCCTTCCCAAAACAATGTCAGTTTGCTTGTAGGTGAAATACTGTCAAAAGCCAAACAGAGGATGAACTGTCATGTCTGATATTTATTATGCTCTATATGATTTTTAAAAATTGCATCTCCTGAATAGGTAGCCTATCTACAAATCCCTAAAGAATATCAGCAGTCTGTACGGTAGTCCCTTCAAAAGGAGACTGTGCCCAAAGGTGAATTCTAAAGGAAAGATATTCAGTATCTGGGACAGAACAGGCATATTGCCTTTTTTTTAGTCTTTACTGTTGAAAGTATTACAAGTGTCCCTGTTTTTCCCCCATTAATCCTCTCCCCCCTGCACTCTTCCCCCCAGGCCTTTACCACACTATTATCTGTGTCCATGGGTTATGCATGTAAGTTTTTAGGTTAATCTCTCCCCACCCACCCCTGCCTTCCCTCTGAAATTCCTCAGTCTGTTCCACACTTCTGTGTCTCTGAATCTATTTTGTTCATCAGTTTATTTTGTTCATTAGCTTCCACATGAGTGAGATCATGTGACACTTGTCTTTCTCTGGCTGGCTTATTTTGCTTAGTATAATACTCTCCAGGGCTCACCCTGCTGTCTCATAGGGTAAGGGATCCTTCTTTTCTTACAGCTGCATAGTATTCTATGGTGTAAATGTCTGAGCATATTGCATTTTATAATCACTTTGGAGAAGAAAGTAAGGTGTCTTCCTTAAGTAGACACTACTATTAAAAAAGCCAAGATAGTTTTCTGCTCCCCTAAATGGTATTCCTTCCAAACAGGAATCTGATCATTTTTCTCCTACCTGATGTAGGCTCCTGCCCCCAGCAACCCAAATGAGCTATTTCAACTATATAACTAGTAAATCAAAGTATTTGAGAAAAATGTAGTCATCCTTCAGGTAACAAACATTTAGTGAATCTACTGTAGGTCAGGCATTGTGTCAGGTGCTAGAAATACAGTAAGAAACAAGGCAAACAAAATTCATGCTAGCAAGGAGACACAGTAAGATTGTATGATTAAATGGGGTGACCAAAAAGCGCTTACTAAGAAGGTGATCTCTGAATAAGACCTGAAGAAGGTGAGAGACTGAGCCATGAGGGGAAGAGCATTTCAAGCTGAGGGAACAGCAAGTGTAAAAGTACTGATGTGGGAGTAAGCTGACGTGGTTAAGAGCAAAGAGGCCAGTGTGACCACAACCAAAAGGGCAAAAGGAAGATGAAATCTGAGACACAGGAGGCGCCAGATCCTGTGGAACCTTGTAGAACATTGCAGTGACTCGACTCCACTGTGAGCGCAATGGGAAACTCATTCTGGAAGATTCTAAATGGAGGAGGAACATAAGCCAGTTTGCTTTACTCCTGCCAAAGAGAAGCAGAAAAACCAGTGGGGAGACTAATAAACCAAGTAGGGGCTGACCAGGCTTGGTCTAGGGTGGTATCAGTAGAGGTGGTGGGGAAGGGCTGGATTCTGAACATATTTTGAAACTAGAGCTAATAACGTTTGTTGATGGCCTGTGCGTAAGAGAAAACATTAACNAATTCCTCAGTCTGTTCCACACTTCTGTGTCTCTGAATCTATTTTGTTCATCAGTTTATTTTGTTCATTAGCTTCCACATGAGTGAGATCATGTGACACTTGTCTTTCTCTGGCTGGCTTATTTTGCTTAGTATAATACTCTCCAGGGCTCACCCTGCTGTCTCATAGGGTAAGGGATCCTTCTTTTCTTACAGCTGCATAGTATTCTATGGTGTAAATGTCTGAGCATATTGCATTTTATAATCACTTTGGAGAAGAAAGTAAGGTGTCTTCCTTAAGTAGACACTACTATTAAAAAAGCCAAGATAGTTTTCTGCTCCCCTAAATGGTATTCCTTCCAAACAGGAATCTGATCATTTTTCTCCTACCTGATGTAGGCTCCTGCCCCCAGCAACCCAAATGAGCTATTTCAACTATATAACTAGTAAATCAAAGTATTTGAGAAAAATGTAGTCATCCTTCAGGTAACAAACATTTAGTGAATCTACTGTAGGTCAGGCATTGTGTCAGGTGCTAGAAATACAGTAAGAAACAAGGCAAACAAAATTCATGCTAGCAAGGAGACACAGTAAGATTGTATGATTAAATGGGGTGACCAAAAAGCGCTTACTAAGAAGGTGATCTCTGAATAAGACCTGAAGAAGGTGAGAGACTGAGCCATGAGGGGAAGAGCATTTCAAGCTGAGGGAACAGCAAGTGTAAAAGTACTGATGTGGGAGTAAGCTGACGTGGTTAAGAGCAAAGAGGCCAGTGTGACCACAACCAAAAGGGCAAAAGGAAGATGAAATCTGAGACACAGGAGGCGCCAGATCCTGTGGAACCTTGTAGAACATTGCAGTGACTCGACTCCACTGTGAGCGCAATGGGAAACTCATTCTGGAAGATTCTAAATGGAGGAGGAACATAAGCCAGTTTGCTTTACTCCTGCCAAAGAGAAGCAGAAAAACCAGTGGGGAGACTAATAAACCAAGTAGGGGCTGACCAGGCTTGGTCTAGGGTGGTATCAGTAGAGGTGGTGGGGAAGGGCTGGATTCTGAACATATTTTGAAACTAGAGCTAATAACGTTTGTTGATGGCCTGTGCGTAAGAGAAAACATTAACGAATCAAAGGTTTATGACCTGAACAACAAAAAGGATGGAGCTGCCAGTGACTAAAACAGAGAAGGCAGCTGTGGGAGCAGACGGAGGGAAATGATCAGGAGAATCAATATGGAATTACAGATTTGTTAAAACGGGACCAAACATCAAGTCAACAGACTTATCACTGCTAACGCAAGATACGATTTACTCAGAAGGAGTCTCGCTGTGCACTTGGGGTTCAGATGGCTGTAGGCAAAATGGATCTGCTTCAAGCTCCAAGACACAGTCCAATACAGCCATAGCATGGTGTCAGTAACACCAGGTTGTTATATAGCACAGGAAATAAGTATCTCTATAGGGAGAAGAAAAGATTCTGAGAGTCTTGCTTTGTAAGTTATATTATGCACTCCTTTAATCAATTTAAAATAGACGGCTGCTGCTGTTCCAATTTACTTAGACCACCAGAAGTGAAACCATGTCCAGCAGATCCCTTGAATATTTATGCATCCACAGAAGTTAAGTGCTCGAGGACACCGCACACCAGGATTCTCTTGGTTTCCGTAGAGAAAAATATAATCGTCACTCTCTGAACACTAATCCAGACTTTGGGTTGGGGCCTTGTATATTTTACTTTCCTCTACTCCAGGGTCAAGATCAGTGTAAAGTGACCCTAAAAAACTGTACCCTACTCATTGTCATAAACGTGCTGCGCCCACCACTACTGGGCTAGGGAACATCTGAAATGTTTCCAAACATTTCCTTCCTAATAGACAGAGAGGCTAGACAAAATGGAAATACCAAATTACTTGTAAAATCACTTTTGCATAGATGATTCAAATAAAAGGTCTTCTTACCAACTAAATATCCCTTATTTTAACCAGTTATCATTATGGTTTATTGTCACATCGAAGAACATAAGAACATAGACCTTAACAGGACTGAGAAACAAATTAGAGTACAAATATTCCCTAGTCCAAAGTGTGCCTTATGGTGCCACTTTCCTTTTTATCTTTAATCTTAATATTCAGACACTATAATAATTACTCAGTCAAAATCTCTTTGAAACGTGTGTATGCGCGCGCATGCACACATGCATGGGTAAATTTAATACTCTGAAGTTCAAAATAATGGTTGTGGCTCTGATTACTTAAAGGCTCTAACAATAGTTCTCAAGCTCAATCAGAGAATTCTTTTTAGAGGTTTTTAATCAGCAGTTAAGAAATAAAACAGACTTTACCACTTTCAACCTACTAAGAGTATAGTTAAAGTACTAACCAGAGTGGTTTGTTTAGGGCTTACTATTTCATGTTCAATCTGTACAACAAAATGCAATAAAACCACCAATGTATATCTGTACCATTTCTTAATCATTTGTAGCTACAATGTTTACTAAATGTTTTTAATGAAGTACTCACTCTCCAACTTTAGTCAGGGTAGGTGCAGGACAAAGCATAGAATTGAGCTCCACACTTACTGGCTTTACACCTGGAAAATAAAATGCCATTGAATTGGTAAAGGGTTTTATGAATCTCACAGTTTCATTAATAATATGAAGGGCATACAACAATCAGAGCTCAAGTGCGGAGCATTAGATATATTAGCATGAAAAAGCAAAAAGACACTCTTTTAAAGAAAGAAGAAAAAAAGAATGAAAAATAGAGATTATAAGCCTCATTGATACATAGTATTGGTAAATTATAGATCATGACTCTTTTTTTACTTAGACTAAGTTCACATACATTTGTAGACACTATAAAATTATCATCTGCTCCCTCAATTTGTCAAATATTATAGGTTTTTTAAGGATAAATGGTATATATATTTAAAAGCATAAGTTAAAAATAATGAAAAAAAGGAGATGAATGTCCAAAGGAAAACGAATTTATTTCAAGAGTTTAATTGTGTCTACAATAAAAAAATATACTTTATAAAGCTGAATGCTTAAGATGCCTTTGTAATTTTAATAATATATGAGAAAAATGATCTAGCCTATAAATATTTGCAAAAGTTAAGTAATCGAATGGATGATCTTAGAATGGGAGTAACAAAAATACAGTCTGACTCCACTTATTTGTTTGAATATGTACTTTAATAAACTTAATCTTATGTAGNGCAAAAGTTAAGTAATCGAATGGATGATCTTAGAATGGGAGTAACAAAAATACAGTCTGACTCCACTTATTTGTTTGAATATGTACTTTAATAAACTTAATCTTATGTAGCTAAGTATAAAATATGTTTATAGTATAATCAATTCAGCCATGTAATCAAAAGGAGTTAGTTAAAGCTAACGCTTAGCTACCGAGGACTACTGAATAAAAAAAGTATTCTGTACTCTTCAATTGTGGAACCTACTATGAAGGGAATTTGTTTAAAAAAAATACTGTCTTGCGTTACCAAAACAATGATCTTAATAGGAAAGAAAGGAATTCATTATGACATTTATCATGCTGAGATCATCACCACTTTAATTCAACAAACACATATTGAACGGCTGGTTACTGTGTGTGCAGCCAAAGCTGTGCTAACTGGAGTGTTCAGGACCATCAGATAAACAGCGAAACTGCAGATGAACCTCTCACAAAACAATTCTACCAGAGTTCAGAGTTGTAGCATATGCTTTCCAGTATAAAATTTTAGAAGACACTATAAATCATCAATGAGGAAAAAAATATCTTAATAGAAAACCAAAATGCTCAGAATCCTAAGATCACTTAAGGGGACTTTTTCTCAGAATGAAGATAAAAGCCTTATACTCATCTGCTCTTTTGAGAGCCAAACTAGGAAAAATAAAACCTAATTCCATAAATAGGGTAATTATCAACAAACACTGTGCTGTGTGGGCACCGGGGATATAAAATATCTATAAGACAAAAAGCCTGTCTCAAAAAGCTAATTGACAGATTATTGAGAAATTAGATAAAGAAAACAAGAAACAATAAAATAAAGCAGTTAGTAGAGTAGTCCAAGTGAGTTAGATTTTCAAGCAAGAGTGATAATAAACTAGAAAAGGAGGCAATTAGATCAGGCAGTTGCCGGAGTGCCCAGAGCGCAGACGGGAACACTGGCTTCACCCTGAGCTCTGCCGTTATTAACTGTGTCACCACAGGCAGCTTATTGTCTGTCTCAGCCACAAGGCCATCATCCGTGCAATGGGGCTACTCAGAAGGATGCCCAACGGTCATGACGCTACGAGCAAACGCTGCCTTCATCAAATAATTATTACAATTTCTATTGTCATCAGACTCCCTGTCCTCCTCCTGTGTTAAAAAACACAGCGCTGTCGGTTTCGGGGGGAGGAGGAAGGCCCACGACGCCGGCGCCGCGAGCTCCCCGAGGCCCGGGACGTACTGGCCGTGTAGGTGTCGTTCACGGTGTAAGTGCAGACGACGCTCCCGCCGCGGCTGCCCAGGTTGAATCCTCTGCCCTTCAGAACAATCTGAAACTCCTCTGGAGGTAACCGGAAAAACAAACAGTTTAATCACTGCTTTACAAAAAGGCGGCGCAACTTGAAAGTATCAAGGTTCATAGAACGAACTTCTCCATACTATTCAGCCAACTGATAACAAAGACATGGCTCTCTTTCCAACTCTACTTGAGGACAACAGTGGGGACATCATTCACTGCAATAAACAAAGTGTTTTGCAACAGTGACCAAGATACTCGAATTGAAGTTAACAGTCATCCCCGGGTAGACACCATGCAAACGTGCCCAAATTCTATCCTTGGGAAAATATCGGCAGAAATGAAACCTCTTTGTTTTTCTCCACTCTGAGGTACCGAGGTATGGAAATGTAAAAAACATTAATCATTCCTGCACTTTGGTTCTTAGAACCATTGTGCATTGTGTTTCCTTTAATCTGTGACAGCTTCTTTAACAGCTTCTTCGTGTCGCTAATCCCATTTTCATTTTTTGTTGCACACAAATTTATAACTCACCAGAGGTCAAATATTTTGGACTACTGATAATCTACAGCCAGTCACCAAAGATTTAACTTATTGTACTCTATGCATATAGTAGGAGCAGTCACTTAATGTTAGAGAGTGAAATAATATGCTAGAAGGAAAGTTAACATCTAATATCTTGATTGGGAAATAAATGTTTGCTGCTTGGCTGCAAGATGACTTAAAATTTAGGTAAAACTTAAAATATGACTCAGTAAAAAGGACATGGGCTTTAGGGTCAGACAGGCATGGGGTCTAATAGGACAATTACTGATAGCAAATACTAACCCTGTCTCTACCTCAGTTTCCCCATCTGTGAACCAGGGATTATAAAACTGTTGGGATGTTCGAATGCACTATTCCTCTCACACATCTCAGTAATCATTAGTTAAGGAGGCTAAAAGGTGCAGAACTTAGTATCGTGTCCTGCAGTTGGGAGGCCTACAGTAAATTACTCAGCATGCTTCCTCCCCGACCAGACACAGTATTTTTCCTTTTCTAGGTAAAGTCAGGTTAAAATGAACTCCAGGTCAGGCTTAAAGAAGAAATAGAATAGGCCAAAGAGAATCACAGTCTGTGTAAAAATGGCTTTGAAGCGTTAAAACCTGAGTCTGTTCTTAGCACCAGCTGAAGAAGCCACCTGCTTCCTTCCTGCCATCAAGCCATAAGTCACTTCCTTATGGGCCCTAAACTGGTGGATACTGCCCTTTGGCCAGGTTATCAAAGCATGGAGTTCAAAATCTACAGATGCATGACTGTCTGTGTAATCAGATAAAAGAAAAAAATTTCATATTTTATTTTACTTGTCATAGGAAAGGTCTCAAACATGAACTAAATATATAGAAGATGCTAAAAGCCTGTCACACAATATGTTCATTATTTAAAATAACACTCCAATCTTAAAAATTTGAATTTAAAATAGAAATATTTCAAGGAATTATTTAAAAATTCTTACAGAAAAAGATGCCAAAAAAGTTAATTTTGCTATTCTCTTTCCAACATGAGTTTTAAATCATATATTTTAACTAGGAAAAAAATACATTTTTTCACATGATATTTTTAAATTTTAACCACTTACCCCCGACACATACACTTGAGGGCTGCAATTCCAGGATTTCAGTGCATGACTGGGCTAGGATCTAAAAAGGAAATGAAGAACAAGATATGGAACTAAATTACTACATGTGAATTTTAAGATTACTAATAATCTTGAGGTCCTCCCCTTAACTTCAATAGATGGCAGAGAAAAATCTCACATACACAATTACCAAGCTCTTAGGAAATCTGTGTTGTCTTTCAGTATATATTCTCAGACTTTATTCTGTAGGAATCCTTATTTGATTAGAGTAAATACAGATAAGCACTGATAAAGTGGGTGTTGCCTGAAAGCCCACAGCCTTGGCTATAAAAAGATAAGTAAAATTTCCTGTTAGACATAAATTCAATGCTGGCTTTTCCCATTAGGCAAAAACAGGATAGCAAATCAGACCTGTTTATTCTAATTTAATGTTTTCTAGTAAAAGTTTCAATATAATCTCAATAGATAAACACTTCTTTGACTGTGTCATTTCTATTTGATTTCTCGACCTCAATTCCCATGAGTGCTGATGCTTCTTATATGTATCAGACATTACACTTGCAGAACACAGGCTTCTTGTATGAGCCAAATATTATTCTCAAAAACACAGGCGCTGTGCTCCCACATTCCCAGAGCACAGAAACAGAATGGCTCTTCTTAGCTTGTTCTGAAAAACAGAAACCACCATACAAGGCACAAGGCTACAAGTGAAAAACAACAATGATGACATAAGCCATTCTTAATGGACACAAGAATCCTGTCTTTATTTTTGGAACTGCTCTGCACTACATTATCAAAGTCAGACAAACTCCAGATGATCTTTGCACGGCATTCCTTTCTTGACCGAAGGTGAAGACAGATGATGCACATACAGTGGTTTCCAGCATCTCCTGCTCGTAACTAGAACAGGAAGGAAGGACTGGAGCAGGAAATTATGTTTTCAGTGCTTTCTTTAACAACAGTGAAAATATAAACTGTCCGACTCTAAAAATCAGCTGAGTCAAACGAGAGAATTTTTGTTGCTGAATATGCATCTCTGAGTGGGGGCATCTTCTGTGCTTTTTTAGACCGTTTCCCAGTGAAACCTCTTTTCACCTAGTCATTAGGAAACATATATTGTGGAATTTTATATCTGAGAAATTCTGGATGAGGTCTATTTAAATGCAGAAATGACCAAAGAGATTCCATAGCACCCAAAAAACTTTCGGCACTGAAACACCTCCTCTGCATCTGCTATTTTTCTCTTATCCACTGAGGAGGGAGTACCAAGAATTGGGTTAAGCACTGAAGACTACTGTCAAAGGTTCATGTGCCCTCTGGTATGAGAAGTATCTCCAATCGCTAACGTCTTTAAATATTTTGACATAATTCAGATAACAAGACTAAAAATGGAACAGAATTTTTAAAAAGTTTTGCTAAAGGAATTCAGAGCTAAAAATGTTTCAACTAACAAAAAAAAGGGCAGTATAGCTTTAGTTTGGTGGATCTGAGATGAAAGTGAGAACAGTGAGCCACCAAAATGGAAGATCAAAGAAAAACACAGAGCCCTCAAATCTGTTTTGTCTGCCAGCAGTTCTGTAAGGATTTATTTTAAAACAGATCTTATTAAGGAGACTGACTTCACCAAGTTCACAATCTCTTTATTAGTTTTTAGCCACACCTCTGTTAGAATCACTGAAAAGCATCAAGGAAAAGTATGAGAGTGGTTTAAAGTTTTAATCTATTAAAAATAGAAATCTTTAAAAACAATTTTGTTAGAACAAGGTAAACCAAAAAGTTATAAAGAGATTTTAGAAAGGCCATGTCAAAGAATACGTATCACAGGATGTGTGAATTTCTGAAATTATGTTGGTTTTCTCTCTCCTACCAAGATTGACCATAATTAAATCAGATCTCATAATATTTATGACAAATATGTGTGTGTTGACTTCCTCTTTTATTAAAGTTAATTTATATGAAAAAGCATCTAGCCCTTCAATCAATTGTGAATGTTGGAAATCCAGGAACCCATAGTTTGAAACTAAGTTCACCAAAACCATTTCCAAATGAAAAATAACCAGACCCAGAGAGAATGTGGTAGGGAGAAAAGAGAAAGAAGAAAGCGTATAAATTTTTGTTGTTGTCTGTGGTTTTTTTAAATCCTCACCCAAGGATATTTTTTCCATTGCTTTTCAGAGAGAGTGGAAGGGAGAGAGAGAAAAAAAATCATCGATGTGAAAGAGACATCGATTGGTGCCTCCTGCACGAGCCCCAACCAGGGCGAGGGGTCGAGCCCGCAACCGAGGTGCGTGCCCTTGGCCGGAACCGAACCAGGGGCCTTCAGTCTGCAGGCCGATGCTCTAACCACTGAGCCAAATCGGCCAGGGTGAAAGTGCATAAATTTTTTAGAAATAATATTTTTTTCTAACTTTGGCTTTTCTTTCTAGTTTACCATGTTCCTATTTTAAGAAAGCAACCACAAGAAAAAATGATTTAATGTTTGCATGCAAAAAGTTTACATCATTAAATTTTTTAAACAATCAGTTCAATAAATAAAAAATAGTTCATAATCTATTCTCACCAAGTAACTGCACGAGATCAAATGTTCAAGATTTCAAAATGGGTCTATTATTAAAATTGTCATTGCTAAATGATAATGGACAGAGAGGGAAAAATATTTTAGACACTCTGGTTAATTTTTACCAAATTAAATACTGTTATTGATTGAACATTGGATCAGGTGTCTCATCTGTAATAACTGATGCATTATCTTTCATACTCTGCATTTCCATGATTTGTACAAGAAATCCTATAAGGATATTTCTTCAAATATATGTTGCCATGTGTCTTCATTATATCTCAATAGTAACAGAAAATAGTTTCCAATAAAGGTTGGCCTTAGCTGACATCAGAGGGAGCTAATAGCACCACAGACCAAATTTAAATACAAGCCAAATACTATTAATAAAACCAGGGCACTTTAAGTCATGCACACACTAGATGCAAAATTGTACTATTTGAGATTTTGGAATAGTATCTATAAATTGACAACAAACTTAATGCTCACCATGAAAATGTATATTACTGGAGCACCTGTTCACTCAAAAGCATCAGTTCACTCAAACAGTGATATTAGTATTAGGGAATATTTACAGATGCAAATAATATTTACATCATTACCTAATCCCTACTTTTAAATCCTCAAGTATTAATACGGATGACAACAGTCAAACTTTCTAAATTTAGTACAAACATAAGTAGTCAAAAATTCAAACAAATTCCTAGCAATGATCATCATAATTACCATTTATTTTTTTGCTGTGCAACTGTTATGTACCAGAAACTGTGCTAGGCACTTTATCTGAATTTCTCCAGTTAATCCTCCCAAGTCTTGTGAATACACACTATTTTTATCATCATCTTTATAGATGAGAAAACTGGGGCTTACAGAGATTTTTAAAAGTTGCCCTAGAACAACTAATTTTGAAATAGCAGAGCCAGATCTCCTCAGGTCCGACTGAGTCCAAAGCTCATTGTTCTAACCAGTGTGCTCTACTATCCTTCATGTTTTTGACAGTCTAACCATTATAAAACTTAGTATCTAACAAACTAGTGAAATTTAGCTGCCTGTTTGCCTGGACTCCTTTTATACTATCAAAAACAATCTAAAATCTGATTTATTTATTATGTTCAAATGTATGTCACTAAGCTTTGACTATTATTTGTTGGGGATTTTACAGGTTTGTTTTAAAATTCCCCAATACCACTGACTTTGCATAAATTAAAATTTTAGATCATCCTCTGAATTTGTAACACATAGGATACCCAAATGCATAGGGCTCACTTCCTTTTTATTTATTTTTTTCTCTATTATCTTACGCTTTTACTGCTTTCTATCAAAAATTTGTGTTATGCAGATAAAACAGTTATATTTTTTATTTCTCGGCATCACCCAGAACCTAAAAGACAGTTTCTCAGAGGTCCTGACTCTTGCTTGGGGAAACAGCAAGCAATTGAAAAACTAAAATCAAACTATGTTTAGAAAAGTTAATTTGTTATTTGATCTAAGAACATATTTTTGTTTTTTAATAAAAGTAATGACGCCAATGGCATTTAGGTTTCACAGTTCAAAAACTGTATAACTTGCTGAGTCCTGGAAACAGAAAGGACATTCGGAGCAAGAAGGCCAGAGTTTGGGGATTTTCTTTTCTTTTGTTTTTCTCTATTTTTTCTGGATGTGAAACTGATTTCAGACGAATTTTTGATATGGAATAAGTTAGCCTTTATCCCTCCCACCCCACTGTCTCACATAGACACTTCTTTTCTGAACACAATCACTACAGAACACACATTGATTGATCCCCTGGATCCAACTGCAACTGAGGCGACTTCCTCCTCTGGACCACCCAGGTATATAACCCAATAACTTTCCTTATTTCCCTTACGCTAGTATGAACTTGGTTTCTGTTGCTTGTAACCAAAAATCTTAATACAGTGAAATATAAATAAGAGGATGACAAAACTAAGTTATATGGAATCAAACAATTCAAAATAAAGCATTTTCTGGCATAAAAAAAAGAGTTGCCTTTTTTTTTCCTTTTTATGCTTAAATACACCATAACTATATTAAAAAAACAACATTTTCAGGAAGCATGGATTGTGTCTGACTTATTTATAAATATGAATTAAGTAGGCTGTTTCCTAGTGCTCTATTAGACACCAGGCATAGAAAGGAGGAAAATACAGCCCCAGCCTTGCTGCCATTAACACGAAAGAAGTCAGAATGAGACTCCTCACCTCCGTTCAGTGCAGCCGATCCTTGGATACACAGACGCCCAGAAGACTCTCATTTATTGTGAGCTTTACATGATAGCCAGTCCTTTTTAAAAAGAGTCCTAGAAACTGATTTCCAATTTTGAGTAAGTCCTACCACTTTAGTGGGGGTTTTTCCCTGTAAATATATCTTTATAGTTAGCTCAGACTTTAGGCTTTTTATCAAACCATGATTTTATAAATAAAGATTTCCATAACTAACCAGTCAACATTCATAGTAGAACCTGCTAAAATCACGTAAGCTAAGGC